TAGCTATTAGTATAGTATTTCCTAAAGCTACGAATATCGTCTACGAGTAGTATTTGAACTAGGATATATCTACTTAAGTAAGGAAGGAAAGAGGCGACCCTATATAGATTAAAAACGACGGTTGCTAGATAGATAGTCTATCTACTAATTAGTTTATAAAGCTATTTACTTATACTATATATAGTAAGACCGAAGAAGAATTTAATAGTAACGCTAAAAAACTAGATAACGTCTATCCTATATTTAAGGCCTATCTCTATAAGAACTAGTAGTACTATAAGACGAGAATAGTTAAGTTCTAGACTAACGAAGTGCTTTACTTCGGCTATAAGACAACCTTATAAGTCGAGTCCTACTATAGACGTATTAGACTCTAGCTTAACTATAGTAGCCGATACGATATTGTTACGCTCTTCGAGTTGCTTTTTAATTAGTAGTAAGAAGGTTACGACCGCCGCTATACTACTATAGAGGACAACCTAAGGAAGTGCTCCGCCTTCTCGATAGCTATCCGTAGTACCGCTATAATAATTACCTTACTAAGATCTTTAGCTATTTATATAAATACGAGATTATAAAGCTAATTAAGATAGATAGCTTACGAGTAATACTATTACTACGCTACTTCTATAACTTCTAGCTTATTAACTTTATAAAGAAGTAAGAGCCTCGTTTACGCGAGCTAAAGGTTATCTTTAGTAACTATAAACCTCTTACTAGTAAAGCGACTATCTATATACTAAAGCGTATACTTACTACTTAAGAGTTAGACGACTTAAATACTATTACTACGAAGAAGTAGAAGCTAAATATAGCGATAAGAACTAACTTTACTCTTAAGCCTAGTATATTACTTACTTAACTAAGAACAACTATTATAGACTACTATAAGTACGTAAAGAGCTAGTACTATACGTAGTAGTACCCTTACTAGAAGGCTAACTATCTATATAGACCTACCTACTACCTTTAAGGCTTCGAGTACTATAATCTACGTTAAGAAGCACTTCTAGTTAAACTATAACCTCCTTCTAAGCTAGACCTCCTATAGTAAGAACCTAAATTCTAATAATCTTCGAGCGTATAAACACTATAAAGAATAGCGTACTTAGTAATAGGCGGTATTATTTAAATAGTAATAACGGTAGGCTACTTAGTAATACTACTAGTACTAGCAATAATAATAATAGTCGCTTATATAGCTAATAGGACGGCTACTTTACTACTAGGTACTATAGTAATAGTACTATTAGTTTGCTTAGTAGTAGTATTATATATAGTAGTAGGCTAGTTAGTAGTAGAGGGATTAGTATAAGCTAGTATATATAGTATTACGTAGTTATAAGGCTATAGGTCGTATCCCGCTTAGAACTAAGTAGATAGCAACTAATAATATCTTGAATTTTACTATACTACTAATTTACTAATAAACTTTAGCTTTATAGCTCGTAGTAGTATAGATAGAGGTAGTTACTCGGTCGGTAGTAGTTGCGGGGATCCGGAAATCGCTTCCCTACGCGATTTTGTTAGGAATAGCGGATTCTATAATCTACTATATTACTAGGGCTCGGGCAGCTAGCTAGGGCTCGGGGAAGTAACTAAGTAGGGCGTGCTCCTTTTATATATATAGACGATCCTACTAAGCATGCGAGCCTGTTCTTATCTCCTATTCCTACTCGAGCTATCGACGCTACTAGTAACCCTCGCTACTTCCCCGAGCCCTAGCTACCCGCCCGAGCCCTAGTAATATAGTAGATTATAGAATCCGCTATTCCTAACAAAATCGCGTAGGGAAGCGATTTCCGGATCCCCGTAACTACTACCGACCGGGCAACTACCTCTATACTACTACTAGCAGCTATAAAGCTAAAGTTTGTTAGCAAATTAGTAGTATAGCAAAATTTAAGGTGTTATTAGTTGTTGCTATCTACTTAGGTCTAAGCGGGTTACGACCTATAGCCTTATAACTACGCGAGGCTATATATACTAGCTTATACTAGTCTCTAGCCTGCTAGCTAGCCTATTGCTATATATAATACTACTACTAAGTGAACTAATAGTGCTACTGCTAAGTAAACTAATAGTGCTATTACTATAGTACCTAGTAATAAAGTAGCCGTTCTATTAGCTATATAAGTAACTATTGTTGTTGTTATTGCTAGTATTACTAAGCAGCCTATCGTTGCTACTATTTAAACAACGCCGCCTGCTATTGGCTATGTTTAATCTGTTACTAAGTGCGCTGTTCTTTACGCGCTCGAAGGTTATTAAGCTCTTGCCGTAGAAGGTCTAGCTTAGAAGGAGGTTGTAGTTATAGTTTAACCGGAAGTAATAGCTCTTAACGTAGATTATAGCACTCGAAGCTAGAAGGGTAGTAGGTAGAGCTATATAGTCGATTAGCCTTTTAGTAAGGATACTATTAAGTACAGCATTAGCTCTATACGCACTTATAGTGCTTAATAGTCGTCCGCAACTAAGTAAGCGATACGCTAGGCTCGAGTACGAAGGCCGCTATTCTTAGTGTTATTGTCTTCTGCTTCTTAGCGACTGCTGTCTTATTTAAGTCGTCTAATTCTCGAGCCGTTACTATACGTTTTGTTATATATAACGTCGCTCCGCTAGTAAGAGGTTTACGGTTGCTATAGATTACCTATAGCTCTCGAATACGGTGCGAGTTAAAGAGCCGTACCTTCTTAAAGTCGACAAACTAGTAAGCGTAGAAGTAAGAAGGCAATAGTACTATACGGCTGCCCTCTATCTCTAGAAGCTTTATAATATCGTAAAGGCACAGATAGCTATAGGTCTTAGATAGGTAGTCGTTATAGCAATACTATAGACAAGAATACGAGTATACCGAGTGCTTAATCTCGTTGCTATTAGCATTAACTATAGCCTTTAAAAGCGAGTTAGTACGCGAGTATAGAGCCTATACTTCGAGAAGGCAATAGTCGCTAATAACTCGAGTTATAGAAGACTAGAATAGACCGATTAAGGCCTTAGAATAGCGCTTTAGGTTGTTAGCGAGTGTAGCTCGGCGGCGGTCGTAGCCTTAGTGCTACTAGTTAAGAAGCGACTCGAAGAGGGTAAAGATATCGTACCGACTGCTATAGTTTAACTACTCCTTAATCCGACCGTAGGTTGCCTCGACTCGTAACGTTGTTTTATAGCTAAAGTGCATTACTTAGTTAGTCTAGTAGTAGACAATCTTCTCCTTATAACACTACTAGTTATTATTTAAATAGGACTTAAACTATAGAAACACGTTATCTAGCTTATAAGCCTTATCGTTAAATTCTTCCTCAGACTAACTCTAGACTATATAAGTAAATAGCTTTATAAACTAAGTAGTCCTTAGACTATTAGTCTACGAGCTATCGTTAGCCTTTACCTATACAAAGTCGCCTCGTTCTTTATATACTCGAGTTAATATATCTTATTATAGGTACTAGTCGTAGACGATATTCTTAGACTCTAGATATACCTCGTTAATCGCTAATATAAGAGCCGCTTTACGGTTAGTGCTAAAGATAATAGGTAGTAGACAACTATGCTTCTCGAAGCTATTCCGAATTAACTATAATAGCTATATAAAGGCCGCCTTGTTAGGCTTCGGTTTAATAAGGCTAATACCGAGTTTAATCGTGTTATTTATCGGTCTAGCGGCGACAATATCTAGCAACTCGAGGTTGTATAAATTAGTGCTATAAGTCGTGTCTAAACAGATAATATATAGCGTATCCTTATAGGTAGAGAGCGACCGTAGATAGAGAGCAACTATTAACCGAATTGTACTATTCTTAGGATTAGTTATTATCTCGTAGAAGATTGAATTCTCGTCTAGTAGCTTAACTATTCTCTCGGCCTAGTTTAACTCTCTTCGAGCGATAGTATTACGGTTAAAAGCAATATTATAAACGTCGTATAGCTTTAGAATAACTCCCTAGCCTCGGAAATAGGCTATAATCTTCGAGGTTAGTATTCGTAACTACTGTAATCGCTCTAGTTACTTAAGGAATTGCTAAGACCTCGTACGGACACGTATATTAGTTAATAAGACAACGTCGTTAGGTCTATAGATATACTAGTAATATATATCTTTAGAAGAGTAGCGAATATACTACTTACTATCCGGCGTACGAGGGTCGATAGTAATAGCGTAGAAATAGAATTTATAGCTAATCTTCTTCGTCTTCTTCTTCGCCTTATTAGTCGTTATCTAGGTACGTTTATTAGGCTTACTAAAGTAGCCGCAGACGTAGAGATAGCGGTATTTAATACTATCCTTATTCTTCTTAAGTTTCTACTTTTTAAACTCGAATCTAGTATCTATACTAAACGACTAAATATAGCGTATAAGCGTATTCTTCGAAGGAAACGACGACTAGCGAGGTAATAGCCTATAAGGGCGCTTAATCGTTATAAACTCGTGCTTTTAAGGTCGCGGCGATACTAATCGATATTCTAGTAGATTAATACGCTCGCGCGGTAGCGATAGCGATAGTAAGCGCGAGCGGCCTCGAATACGTATCTCCGAGACAAATTAAACCTCTTCCTACGACTTAATAACTACTACTAAGAGCGCGCCTTTTATATCTTCTATCTCTATTTCTACCTCCTTTTACGACTTAATAACTACTGCCGAGAGCGCGCCTTCTATACCTTCTACCTCTATTTCTACCTCCTTCTACGACTTAATAACTACCGCCGAGAGCGCGCCTTCTATACCTTCTACTACCGCCGCTACCGCTACCGCCGCTATACTATTACTACCGCCGGCGATAACTTTATCGAGAAACTCGTCGTAGGATAGAGATTTAGCTATTTTCGGTAGTTACTAGGTAATCTGCTATAAAAGGGGGAAGAAATACAAACTTTAGGTCTACGGTAGAATTCGAGGCGCGAATTCGAGGCGCGACCTCCGCGCCTATTAATAACACTATCTAAGAACGGATATAATATATAATAGGTAGAAACAGCACGTAATCCAATTCAGGACGATTCTACATTGGTATATCTACTGGGGCTCGGGCGGGTGGCTGGGGCTCGGGGAAGTGCCGCCGGCTAGCAACAACCTGAGGGAACGTTGGGATGTTGGTTATTCCCGCACGCTCTGGACGCTTTGAGACAAGCTGTTCTCTCGACAACCAGCCAAGGCGCTGAATCATGCTCGAAGAATAATGTCCGTCAAGCGTGGCCAGATGCATGTCGTGCATATGTAAGTACAGTGTTGCTTTTCTTAGCTCCGTGCCGCGCACGCCATTACGATGCGGCGCGCCCGCGTGTTCGTTGGGGCCGGCCAATTCGTGTCTCTCGTACATGGGTGGCAAGAACATCCTATCATCATCAAGAACACACACAATACCACAGCCCACGAGAATCACGACATGAGACAGCGCGCTCGCTGACAGCGTGGTCCCAATGCCGAAATTGGTTCGTTGCTCGGATGCTTCGGAAAAGGTGACGGCCGACTGGCAGATGGCACAACGATAGAGCAATATCGACAACGTGTTCGCCCGGATTCTGTACACACCTCATGCAGCGCAGCGCAGATTGGCACAAAGCAGAGCCAAACATCATCGTCGCTCGCAGGGCTCTCGAGATCCGGTCTAGAGAGATCTTCGGAGGTGCATGGAAGAAGACATGTTTGGATATGTTTGGAATCTTTGGACATTGGCATCTACAAAGACGGTAGACCCTTGATGGTTGTCGCAGATGTTGGAGATCTGCCCAAGGGGGACTTCGACATCATCCTTACGCTGCTCTCCGCCACGTTCGTCCATCGTCGCGCACTCGTCTCCTACCTCTTTCTGTCTTTCTTTCTTCTATTGTGTTGCCCTCGAGGCTTGTGCTGCACATGGTATGGTGTGGTGTATCATAGCGGTAGAATCTTCTCATCGAAAATGACGGGGTCCGGCAGCAATGTTTACCGCGGGCAAAAAGGCAAACGGCATGGTGCTGTAGCGTGAAACCCCTGCGCCTGCGCCTCGTCAAGGTTCTTCAGCTGAGAAAGCCAATCAGGGGGTGAAAGCGGTGTTTCTTGGTGGCCAGGATTCCTCTCGATCTTCCCAAGCAACCACCACCCGACATCTCCTCATCATCAGCAGTCGTTAGAGCGTGTGCGGGTGCATGAGCGTTGGCGCGGGTATTGCGTGTTTCATATCACTCGTTGTATTATTGATGCTTTCCCGACATCACTCGCTTGTGTCGTAAACATTCGCTACTCGCTGCTCCTGCCCCGCAAGACTGCCGTCGCGGTAGTAGTGATTGCCGCGCAGAGCACACACGACGACATTCGCTCACCACTCGCTGGCGCCATTGCAGTATACCGACACCAGGCTGCGAGTCCTCCCACCACGAGCCGACCATCAGCATTGGCCCGCCCACCGGCCGAAACATCCCAATATCGCTATCCCTTCGATTCGCTATCCCGCATACCTTAATCAGCTGGCGCATATGCCACTGATTCTGCAGAAACTAGTCGCGGCAAGGAGACGAGGACAATCCTCGGCACGCCGTCCGAGACAACGACCGAACGGCTCTGGAATGTGAAAGCCGACACATACCTGTCATCAGCATGTCGTCCAACAACCAGTATTACCGCGAACCGCGGAGGCGAGATTCGAGCAACGCCACCCCGGGCAGCCAGACTCGATATCAAGGCCAGTCTATACGCCGCTCGTCTGGATCGAGGCATAGGCGCCCTTCAGACAGCGATCCAGACGGCCGCATACACCCCGCCCATCGCCGCCAGTCCGACTCGCACCGCACCCGCCGTGACAGCAGCAGCAGGCGAGAGAGGGAGGACTTGCACAGCCATACTCGTAGAAGGAGGAGTTCTGCGCAGAGAGAGCGCCAAGCTCCTCCGCCGACGCCTCGCCAAGCAGCACCGGGCTCCCAGCGTCCGGCACTCCGCGTACATCCTGTGGATTCATACCAGCCCAGCAGCGCGCTTGCTTCGCCCTCGCCCTACGCTCCAGGCGCTACAGATCGTGATCCAATGATCGAGGCGGTCAGCCCCCGCGGCCTGAACGCTGGAGATGTCAGTCGCAAAAAGAGCTTGGTGCGTCCGGAGCGGCGGCGCATGGATCCCCACGATCCAGATTACCATTACAGGAGACACGCAGAGAACATGAATGTTATGCCGTCAACCACTGGCAGAGATCCTCAGATGGAGGCCGACATGCAGACATTGAGTTCAGATCCCTCTACCAAGCTGAACGGCGAGGATGCTGTGCCATTGCAGGAGAAAACTGCAACTCGTCCATCCCCGAGAAATCCCAACAAGCTGAGCAGGAAGGCCGCCAAGAAGGAGCGCGAGGCAGAAGACGCGGCCGTGAGACGGAAGAAGATTGACACTGCAGCCGGATCGATTAGTCTTTGGACCGCCTACAGCCACATGGTCACTTTCTGGTGTCCCAACGTCATTCTGCGCTGCTTTGGCAAGAAGCAGAAGGAGCAGCAGCGGGCGTGGAGGGAGAAGGTGGGCTTGATCTCCATCATTCTGTTGATCATGACCTTCGTTGGATACTTGACATTCGGTTTCACCCAGACTGTTTGTCCTCAAGGTGGCCCTCTCCGACTTCGAATCAACAAAGTCGGCGGTGGATACATGATTTTTCATGGCAAGGCCTACGATTTGACACGATCCCAGCACCCTCTTGCGAGAGGCATTGCAGAGGGTGCCAACGTGCTTTGGGATGTCGACCCACCCGGTGCAGGAATGGATGGCAGCTTCCTCTTTCAGAACGTGAATGGAGCTTGCAAAGGCTTGATTACTGCTGCGCAGAACTCCGATGTGCCCACTGATTCCTCCGGCAATCTGGCGTGGTACTTCCCCTGCAACATGTACAAGCAGGATGGCTCATCCAGCCCAAACACGAGCATTCCGTACTACCTCGGGTACGCATGTCACACTTCCCGTACCTCGCGCAACGACTTCTACGGTCTGAGGTCCTCGGGTGATGTCTACTTCAACTGGAACGATGTTCGAAATGCCTCTCGTAACCTTATGGTCTACTCTGGGGATGTGTTGGATCTTAACCTGCTGCAGTGGTTCAACTCCTCTCAGGTAGCTGTGCCGGACAAGTTCAACGAGATCCGTCTTAATCAGGCGGTGCGTGGAAAGGATGTCACCCTCGCCTTCTCGAGTGGAGAGAACAAGCAAATCGCGCAGTGCTTCCAGGACATCATCAAGGTGGGCTCAATCGATACCGAGACCGTTGGCTGCATCGCTTCCAAAGTCGTGCTGTATGTCTCCTTGATCTTTATTCTGGGCATCGTGGTCATCAAGTTCGCTCTCGCGCTGCTGTTCCAGTGGTTCTTGTGCCGAAAGTACGGCGCTGATAAGACGAGTATGAGCAAGAACAAGAAGGAGCGCCAGCAGCAGATCGAGGAATGGACCGACGACATCTACCCTCCGGCTCCCAAAATCACCGAACCTGCATCGGTCGGTGGCACAAATCACACCCCCAGGCGTGCGAGCTTCCTGCCGACCACGTCTCGCTTCACAAGTCCGTATGCGATTGAGAGAAGCATGGCCAAGACCAGGGCTCCTCCAACGACCATGGTCTCTCAGAGCTCTTCCAACCGATTGACCGTCGGCAACGCTGCTTCCTTGTATGGCAACACCAATCGCTCCGAAGGCACTTTACCCACCTACGATGCTCGAGAATCCGAGTCGAGAGCAAGCTTGATGGACTCCCAACGCTATAGCTCTGTGCTCCACACCGACACCGAGACGACGGGACCTCAGGGCTTCATCCACGAAGCAGTCGTGCCACAGCCTCCACCAGAATGGCAGCCTTTCGGTTTCCCGCTTGCACATACCATCTGTTTGGTCACCGCTTACTCCGAAGGCCCCGAAGGGATTCGTACCACTCTCGACTCCTTGGCCATGACCGATTACCCCAACAGCCACAAGTTGATCTACGTGGTTTGCGATGGTCTTGTCAAGGGTAAAGGAGAGGCCATGTCCACACCCGACGTCTGTGTCAGCATGATGAAAGATTTTTCGGTTGTGCCAGACGAGGTTCAGCCATATTCTTACGTTGCTGTTGCCGCCGGCAGCAAGCGTCACAACATGGCCAAGGTCTACTGTGGCTTCTACGACTATGGCGCGGATAGCATCATTCCTGTAGAAAAGCAGCAACGCGTGCCTATGATCACCGTGGTCAAGTGTGGCACGCCAGCCGAAGCTGGATCGGGAAAGCCTGGCAATCGTGGCAAGCGTGACTCGCAAATCATCCTCATGTCCTTCTTGCAAAAAGTCATGTTCGATGAGCGGATGACGGAGCTGGAATACGAGATGTTCAATGGGATCTGGAAGTTGACCGGCATATCTCCCGACTTCTACGAAATAGTCCAAATGGTTGACGCTGACACCAAAGTCTTTCCGGATTCGCTCACCCACATGGTTTCTGCAATGGTCAAGGACCCAGAGATCATGGGCCTTTGCGGAGAGACGAAGATTGCCAACAAGACTCAGTCTTGGGTCAGTATGATCCAAGTCTTTGAGTACTTCATTTCGCATCACCAGGCCAAGTCATTCGAATCGGTGTTCGGGGGTGTCACCTGTCTGCCAGGATGTTTCTGCATGTATCGTGTCAAGTCGCCCAAGGGTGCTCAGGGCTATTGGGTTCCTATTCTGGCCAATCCGGACATTGTCGAGCATTATTCGGAGAATGTCGTCGATACTCTTCACAAGAAGAATTTGCTGCTTCTCGGTGAGGATCGATATCTGTCTTCGCTCATGCTGAAGACATTCCCCAAGCGCAAGATGATGTTCATACCACAGGCCGTCTGCAAGACCACTGTCCCGGACACTTTCAAAGTGCTCGTGTCGCAACGTCGACGTTGGATCAACTCCACCATCCACAACCTCATGGAGCTCATCATGGTCCGCGATCTTTGCGGTACCTTCTGCTTCTCCATGCAGTTTGTGTTGTTCATCGAGCTGGTGGGTACACTGGTTCTTCCTGCCGCAATTGCCTTTACCATCTACGTCGTTGCCATCTCCATCAAGGCCGGCATCGAACATACCGAGATCCCGATTATTCCTCTGGTTCTTCTTGCGCTCATCCTTGGTCTTCCTGGTGTTCTGATCATCGTCACGGCCCACCATGTCAGCTATGTGATGTGGATGTTCATCTACTTGCTTTCACTGCCGATTTGGAACTTGCTGCTCCCCACCTACGCATTCTGGCATTTCGATGACTTCTCCTGGGGAGATACTCGGCAGGCCGCAGGTGAAAAGAAGGGCGCTGGCAAGGACGGTCATGACGCCCATGGTCAGTTCGATTCAAGCAAGATCACCATGAAGAGGTGGCGTGACTTTGAGCAGGAGCGCAGATTGCGAGGATTCCAATGGATGAACAGCAGCACGACCATGTACGGCCATGGCGGCAGTGGCTCTCCAAGCATGCATGGTAGTGTCCAGCACAATGGCATGCCAGGTCACGAGAGGAAGGTCAGTAGCTTGATGCTTTAGGATGACGATCTGACTGCTGGACCTTCTTCCGAACGTAGGAGCTGGGCAAGCGACAGCATGGTCATTCGCGTCGCCGGGAATCCACTTCCGCCTGGCGGGTGCTACGACTCCGGACCACAATCAGAATCAATGCCCGATCTGGTTCGTGGCAGACGGTTGAAGCGTAGCAAGGAGAGGTCGCAAGACCTAGATAATGAGGAGATTGGTATTGCTTTATGAAGGAGCAGAGCATGGCTCTCGAACCAGCATGTGTGGGTGATACGAAAGAGTGGTTGCACAGGACGAGCCAGAAATAAAAGTTTCCCGAGGAAGGCATGATCTATTTATTGTTTGAAGGTCGATTCTTTCTTGGACTGTCAGTCATTACATGGAAACACAGATTTGTATATATGGGCAGGTGTCGCTTTGCATGACGAGCGCGTCAGGAAGAGAAGAGAGCGCTTCACACTGCCTCTTGCGGAGTTATTCCAGTTTTAATGAATCATTCGATACTGAAGTTTTTCTTTTGATTTTGCGTCGGGAAGAGAGGAGGGTTGTTTGTTACTGTCTGTCTCTTTGTGTTAGAATTGAGACTCTAGCAAACTCTGTAGCTTGTCTTGTCTATAGAAGGAAGGAAGGCTTTTTCTTTTTTGACCACCGCGATAAAAATCCTCCTCCAGCCCTCGTTAACATCATCCCCTCTACAGGTATCCCAATCTCCAATCTCCTAATTCATCAATTCTCTCTACACATAACCCCCAAAAGAAAAGCCTTCTCGTCAGTAAAAATTTCTTTTATTTTGCCTTGCTAGAAAAAATAAGTCTCACTTTTTTTTATTTTTTCTCTCAAAATTTCTTAACTCACCTCTTTTCTTATATCTTCTTTCTTGCCGCCCTTGGAACTGCTTTACCTTCTCCCTGGCGCTGGCGCGGCGCAATTCCCATTACAGCCTGACGGATTGTCTTTCCCGAGCGCTGGGTATGAGATGACTGCTGCAACTGCTGCATCGGCATTGGCATTGGCATAGGCGTTGGGTATGGAGACTCCGTGGACCGCTGTTGCGGTGAAGAGGGCGAGGGCGAGGGAGATGAGATTCATTGTTGGATTTGTTGTGGGTGTTGAGGATGTTTCGGATGGAATTGATTTGCAGAGACTTGAACATTTTTTTTAATATATATATATATATAAGAGTCGTGGTTCAGAGGTAGATCAATCGATCGTTTTCGCTGTCCGTTACTGGACTACATGTTTCACGGGCATCGAGGTTTCTACCGTCTTGCTACTACTTTGCCATTGAGATAGATCTCCGTGTTCGAAATTTTTGGTGCTCGTTGTTGCTTTCCCGGCGAGAAAAAAAAAAGTTCACATCTCTCGATCCTTGATGCGAAGAGCTGAAACGTCTAGTCGTTGTGTCATATCAGGCTGCGGCAGCCTGTGGTGAGGCCACGGGTGAGGCCACTGGGACAACCTCAAAGCCTGGCTTTGTTCACTGCGGCCGGACACTATCGCGGAACTCTACCTGCCTGATTCGTTCGCTAGGCTTGTATCTGGAGTTTCGTCCAGATATGCGCTCCCCATCGTGCATCGGCCAGCGAAACCGGACCTGGACCCGGACCCATGAATGGACCGCGAAACACGTCTTGAGCTGGAGGCAAGACCAATCAGCCTCACCTACTAGCCTTCCGATATATAATGGCCGATCCAACCTCACACCGGCTAGCGCCAACATTGATCCGAGGCCTATAACTACCCTGCAAAGATCTAGACAATGATTTTCGTTTCTGCTCTCCAAACCAATATCCTCAAAGCGATGGAAGATGCCACAGCCGATGCACTATCACTGCTCCTGTGGTGTCGACTAGGAGCGGCGGTGCGACTACTACGATAGCTGCCGCTCGGTGAAGTCGTACCTCTCCTAGGTTCATATAGTAGTGAAAAGCATTGAGTAGGTACGAAAGAGATCTAGCCTGCTGCCATGAGAAGTTGACGACTAGGCTGTTGTGCAGAAGCGGTCTATAGTCTAATTAATCAGCAAGACGTTCGTGGGAGCAGGCATAGAGAGGAGGATTGATCACGCACGATAGTCGCAGAACAATAAGCACCAAAATCCAATTCCTCCAAGCCTTATTCCGGAACAGGCTGGCCGGGAAACAAAGACGGCGGCGTTACGAGCTCCGTGGACGATTTGAGAGATTAGTCCACTCTCAACACATGCTGATCTGATCGAAAAAGGCTTTGGCCCTGTTGACTCTGTGCGATCCTGCGATCTGGATCAGCGAAGGTATTTCACAGATGCAAGAAACATTGATCAGCTCACGCCAGCAAAGAGTCTCTAGCACCCTCATGATCCCACAAGCCAGAAGCAGAACCCATATATACATTGAATTGCACACGCATTGGCGAAGTTGAAGCTATTCTACCTCAAAGCCAATCCACCTCAACACCAATCCCAGCTCACAATGCAATGCCCAACCTTGGAACTCCATACACACCAACCCCAAAAAAAAACCTCAAACCCGCCGTAGTGTGTCACCATATCTCCTACAATCATCAATCATAATCATACCTCGTTACCAAACAGGGACGTTAGAACACATCTCACATCTCACATCTATCTCCTCAATCCCTCCCCACCCCTAAAATCAATCTCACACTCCCTCCACTCCACCACGCAGCGGCACAAAAGCGATTCGAATCCTCCAGCTTGGAAATACACCGCCAGCACCTATGTAGAAGATTAGAATTGTGCAGGAGCCAAGAGCGAGGGATGAGGGATGAGGGATGGGAAGGGCCACGATGTATGATGCGTTCTCCTGTTCTCCGAAGTTGAAACTTTTGTATGTTGGTTGATAAGAAAAAAAAAATGGTGCATCAGTGTCCGCACGTTCCTAGTGAAAGCTCTCCGAGGATGAAAGTGTACGCCATCAAGAGAGACAGGCTCCCATAACCCGCCATTAAAACGCTCGTTCCGTCGAATTGATACAATACCATCTGTATCGACGGTGCCGCGTTTCTGAAATGCATCGTCGTCCGTCCATTATTGAAACATTTTCTCATAAACATGCTCGCCCGTCTCGAGCACTTCGACCTGGTCTCCAACACATATGCTTGCCTGTCCAAGTCTACCAAGAGGAATCATAGACAATCCAAGCACAGCATGAGGCTTCGCTCCCTCGTCAACAACTCTTGTCCTCCTGAGCGTCCGGAGAGGCTCGTGTCTGGCCATGACTCCAGTGTCTTGGTCGACGTTCGCCAAAGGACAGCGGGCAGTACGACAGGCTGCGTGGTAGATGGTGTTTCCAATGCGTACGCGCTTCCAAAAGTCTTCTTCGTAGGCATCTGCATTGATGATAATGTTGGCTCGGAATCGTCCAATATGAAGATCTTCTGCTTCAGCCTCCGAGTCCATATTCTTGTTGAGCTCGCGGACACTAGCAATGTTAATGAGATGCACGGGAAAAGCGTCTGCGAGACCAACCTCAAAGTGCTCATCAGGAAGATCCCGAGGCAAGCTTCTGGTAATGGTTCGGAGGTTTCTTTGATCCATGCGGAAAAGTCCAAGCGAGTGCTTCGCGCCCAAGAAACGCCTCAGGCGTTCGACGTTAGAAGATTTGATCTCGCTCGTCACATCGATGGCTTTGGGAGTATCAATCCAGACGGACAAGCTTTCGGTTCGGTATTTCTTGGCGGTAGCTCTTTCCGGAGTTGGGCACAGAGGTATTCGTATGATGACGGTGTTGTTCTCGAATGAGAAGTGGGCTAAAAGGAAGCCACCATTGGCTCTCACATCTCGAACCCGATCTATCGCAGGCGAAGCCTCTGGGGATAGCGTGACACCAGATTCCTTTTCATGAGTTGAGTCTTCGTCCTGTTGCGTATGAGATGGACCCGGAACCCACAGCTCGGTCTCAATCAGTGCCAGTTTGGGGTACTCCCTTTGCGTGATGATCTTCCATCTGCCATCGTTGAACTCTGCGAACGCGAACAATCGGTCGAATTTGAATCCCGTCTTTCCGACCCGAGCGATTGGCACCTCAATACCCTTGCATGACTTGAGAGGGTAGACGAACAGACCTGCGACTGACGGTGACCGATCATCCTCGTCCAGGAGTCGTATGCTTTCGAGACGACTGTTTCCCTCGCAGTCGTATCTCCTCAACGGCAATATCGCTTCCGTACTAGATGTGGACCGCCGCGGTCGGAGTTTGCGTACAAGTACAGCTGCTGTGAGCAAGGCCGCTGCTCCTTTCCAGCTATGGAAGTAGGCGACGAAGTGCCAGAACAGGGCGATGAGGACATGCATCGTTGCTTCCGAATTGCCTTTGACCATTGGGGCGTGCTGGAGACTCTGGTATCAATAGTCGAGGAGCCTCAGGAATGCCGCATTGCAATTCCTGGCTCCTGGGCGCTCAGCAGAAGACGTGGTCGGTGACCGAGTGGGACAGAAGATACAGTGGCGACGTGGCTCCTCAAGGTGAGCGCCGCCGAGGACAAGAGCAAGATGGAAGTGCAAGCGCCATTGAATTGCGATGCAGAGTCACACAGGAGGCAGGAGCGTTGTGCGAAGCGTATTCTATGCAGCCATATCCCTGACACTGAGCGACAGCTTTAAATATTGCCTAATCCTTGCCGAGTGCTATATTCTAATAACCTTTTCCACGGGGCCCGTATCGATCAAATGAGCATTCTAGCCTCTCGATTGGTGTCGACTCTACTCTATCCATGAAGAATCGTGTCAGCGGCCTTCTCGCTGGCCACCATGATAGGCGCCGTAATGAATATGCCCGGTATGGCCGGGAAAATGCTCGCGTCCACGACTCTCAACCCATCAATACCCCGGACGCGGAACTTGGAATCCAAGACGGCATTGCTGTCGCTCGCAGAGCCGATAGGTGCAGTGCAGCAGGCATGATGCCCCCATGCCTCGTCCTTCACGAACTGTTGCAATGCCGCATCCGTGTCTGCAGCCGCACCAGGCCTCTCTTCGCTGAAGTTGGTGCCACCAAGGATGGCATAGTTGGAGTATCGCTGGTTTGCTTCGCGAGACATTTTGATCGCTTGAACCAAGGCGTTGACATCTTTCTGGTCCGCCCCGCCTGCTGTCGTCCCGGTGTCGAAATAGTTGAAGTTGATGATGGGCGTGTCGAGCGGATTGGTCGATCTCAGCTCAACCGTCCCGGCCTTGTTGCGCGTGTGAGCCTTCAATGTGTACCAGCTGAAGACTTTGTGGCTCGCGACCGCTGCATCGCCCCAGCGAGGGAAGTAGCCGGTGAAGTTGACTGGTCCACCGAAGATGAAGAGATCGATGTTCTTGTCATCGGCGTAGTCGGAGTTCACTGCCATTGCCGCTGCAAGCCCATTACTACCATAGGCACCACGCAGACCAAGCACGCTTGGATTGTTCTGCCACTGAGCGTAGCACTCGTCGTGCGGCTTGGCGTCAAAGGTACAACCGTCCAGGATCGAGAAGTCATTGGGATGCCTTGCATTTACCGGGATCTCGTAGCGATCTTGCATATTCTTTCCGAGGCCTGGCACGTCTTTGACGACTTCGATGCCAAACCTGTTCAGCTCGCTTGCTGGACCCACGCCGCTCAGCTTGAGGGTCTGTACGGTGTTGTACGATCCACCAGCCATGATGACTTCCTTCCTGGCGGTAGCCTTTCCAGGAGTACCAGCAGCACCACTAAGTGGAGATGCTCTGTACAGATGCTAGAAGTAAAGGATAGAAGCGTTAGCAGACGTCCTTGGCGAGAAAAAGAGGGCTACGAGGCGGGAGTGTGCAGTTCGGTTTACCTACCTTGCCATCCAAGAATTCGACGCCAACAGCCTTGGGAGTAGAGCCAGTGGTATTGAAATTGATCTTAGTAACGTGACAATTTGTACGAATGGTGAGGGGAAAGCCACTGTTCTCGGTGTCAACGATGAAGTCCCTCACAGAGACTCTCTGGCCACCTCGCTGGATGAGCGGGATCTGGTAGAAGCCTTCCAAGGAGTCGCGACCTGGAGTGTTGTTCGGGTCAGTAAGCAGAGTCTGTCCGAGTCCCGTAACGGCAGCAAGCGGGTCCGGACCAACGCCCATCACGGCAGCACCGCCGGCCAAGTGCTGGACAAGCGTGGTGTCCTTCAAAAGAATGGCTGGGTCGGTGGGACCAGTGGGTTGCCATTCGTAGATCTTCGCCAAGTACTTTTGCATGTTGGCAGACGACCAGGAAGAATCTCCAGTGATGGTAGCGATATTGTCCCAGTCAGAGGCATGTGGGGTGATCCAGATCAAGGCGTTGTGAGAGACGCAGCCACCCAAAGTTCCGGCTCTAGGATAAAGAATTCCCTTGCCCTCGACATACTTGGGATCTCGTCTGGCTCTGGTTTGATCTTGGTAGTGGTTCACCTTGGCGAGCTGTTGTCAGCCATGCTTCTGCAGTGCGTGGATTGATCGGTCGACTCACGTAGATATCCCAAGCAATCTGCGGGTCTTGAGTGACAGCGGCTTGGAAACCAGGCACTGTGTAATTGTAGTTTGTGCCCTGGTCATCTCCACTCTCGATGAGGAGAACGGACTGGCCTGCACGAGCCAGTCGACTCGCCAATGGCCCACCACCTGCTCCACTGCCGACGACGATGTAGTCGAACACCAAGTCGTTCTGGCGTTCTTCGACCACAGGTGCAGCGGCAACAGTAGCGGCTGCTGCCAGGAGCGTGGCTGCAATGTTCCTCATCTTGACCGTTGCTGGCCCAGGCGTTGGTGAAAGACAGGCCGATACATGTAGGCAGAGGGACGGCCTGCTTTTCAAGAGATGTAGTGATCACGGAAGTCCCAAGCATGATGGGTGGCAGTATGGTCGAGTCGAGCCGCATTCGCGCACTTGCCTCCCGTTGTGAGTAAGATCTTCAGGACGAAGCGTGTTTGGGGCTAATGATGCTATTGCCAAGCGACGATGTTGTGATATGGCCCAATCACGGCACTTCCTTCCTTCTGAGACATGCACCGACACCGACATGAGGGGAGGTGTGGCGTCTTTGAAGATTCGCCGTCTCCAGCCTAACCCTTGGTTCTGGAGCTTATCTCGCACGGTAAGATGCGCGCGACCTCGTTTGGAATGGCGTGGGCTTCGACACAGACATTCTTATTCGCAGCGTCGTTTCTTGTTCCCACACGGCGTGGAAAGCACTCCACCGGTTTCGAAGGATAGTTTGCAAGCGTGTGAGTGCGCTCATGGTTAGTAGCTAGGCCTATTCGAGACTCGTCTCGAAGGCAATAAAGCTACCCTCGGTTGTCAATCTCAGGCGGTCAAATTAGTAATATATTAAAGCTTAATTGCTACCTCCTTAGTAGCATAGTGCTATATAGTTTGTATATATTAATCTACGCGTAATCGAAGTAAATACCTCTAATATAGCTACTAAGCTCCTACTATTACTCGAAGAGGTAGACGATAACCTAGAGACTTAGGTTTTAACGCAATAACGGCTCTTATAGTAGTACTAATATATAGTTACCTTTACGGCGAATTTAGTACTTAACTAGAGCCTATATAACGACCTAACTAACTAGATCTAGCGTAGTATAAGGGCTCCGGATAATAGAGAGTCCTTCCGTATGTCTGCTTACGTAGTAAACTAGTCTATAGACGACGAATATAACGAGAATATCCGTAGGCTCTATCGGCTTATAAAGAGCTAGATTAGTCGCCTTGCTACCGCTATTTAGGGTAATCCTAAGTACTAAGTAAATTATAGAGGTTATAGAGCTACGGCAAGACAAGTAGTCTATATATTATACTAGAGATTGTTATATCCGGATCGCTAGTATAGACAATCGACGCTGCTTAGTAGCTATTCGAGTACTATATACTATATATTCTATAGAGCGCTTTACGAGATCTACGAGCGATACTATAATCTAATCTATTAGTAGCCTAGTTTAACGTACGAGAAGCTTTATTTTTATAGATAGCGGGTTAATGCACTTAATAATAGTAGCTTCTACGAGGGCAGGGTATAGGGATTTATCGACGGCGTATTCTAGTCGTTCTATATACTATAGGACCCGACGATAGCGAAGGTAGTATATAGCCTCTATTATAAGGGTTAAGGTCTTAAATACTAGGCTATAATAGCACCGGATAGACTCGTTATTTATATATCGTTACTAGAAGTTAGAGCTTGCTACGACTAGACTATATTCTAGCGTACGGACCTAGAAGAGCGCTTTACTAATCTCTTCGAAGATAGGCTATATCTCTTCGTCGTTAGCGACAATGCTTATTATAGCTTATATAGCTATATAGCTCTGTTTACGTACGCGTAGGGGTATTAGTATCTCGAGTTAAACGAACGGAAATTCAATACTAAGCTATTGTTAGTTAGGATTAGCGTAGAATAGATATTCGGAAAGATAGAAACGTATTAGTTACTTAATTATTTCTATAACAACCTCTAGTCTATAAACTAGCCGATCGCGTTGTTCTAGAGGGTATCGGTATTCCTTTATAATTGTATAGTTTGCCTCCGCTAGGAAGATGCGCTAGAGATAAGCATTCCGGATATAATTAGGGGTAGATTTAAGTATAGGGCGCCGACGCTTAATAAATATCTAGGTCTAAATGTGCCTAGTAATAGATAATAGTAGTTGTTGTTATAATAAAGGTAGTATAAAGTCGATAGTAGAAATCTAATAGTATAGCGGAATGCTAAGACCTAGTTTAGGTATCGGTATTATATACTTTCTACGGGACTCGTAGTATACGAGAAATAACTAATATAAAGAGTACGTATACTAAGCATCGAGAAGCTTACCTAATTGTTAGGAAATATAGACATTCGAAATGCTAGCGTTTATATTAAATATCGTATAGTTACTACTTATGCCTAAACCGCAAATTACCTACTAAAACTACTCCTTAGCCCTTCTAATATAGTATTTAACTTGTCGTCCTGCTTCTTATATCTGTTCTTATTATTACTACTTATCTTGTTTAGCTTGTTATCGAGCGTGTTATTACGCTCCTACCTCCTTCTTAGGCTCTTCTTATAGACTTTATCCTACCTTCTATCTTCTACCTTCTACCTTCTACCTTCTACCTTCTACCTTCTACCTTCCTTTACCTAACCTACGTACAATTAGCGTCGATCGGTTCTCGGCTCTTCTATATATAGTCTAGTATATAGAAGAAGTCTTCGTAGAAGAGCCTAAGGACAAATGTAGCAAAGCTATAGTATTAACCTTATATACCTACAAAACAGGTAGAATAGTATAACAACTACCTAAATACGGGCTTAGCATATATAATAATGTACCTGCGGCTAAGTCTAAAGATTCTTTTTGTCTATATATCATTGTCTGTATTATTTAAGTTACGTAAATAATAATTAGAAAACACTACTACGTAAGAATCCTTATACGAACAGCGTCCGGATGTCCTATATCGCGATACTAAAAACTACTATTTGTAGCAAACGAGATAGACGCGGACCTTTAGAATCGGCCGCTCTCTAACCTCTAAGTGTTTGCTATGCGTAAAAGTGTCGCGTTGTTAGGTCCTAAGGCGTATCGGGCAGACTAGGCTAAAACGCGGCTGTTCTAGGTCTATGCGCTTTACTACGTACGCGTAACTCCGTACACCTTCGCGTAGGTTCGTATACACTTATCTAACATTGCACGAACCTGTTAGATACCTCTAATACTCCTGCAAAAGCGCCCTCTTACAAAGCCCTCTTATAAAGCCCTCTTATAAAGCCCTCTTGCAAAGCCCTCTTGCAAAGCCTTCCTACAAAGCCTTCCTATAAAGCCTTCCTGCAACGATTAATCCCTGCCCGCTCTAGTCTACCCTCTTACAAAGCCTTCCTATAAAGCCTTCCTATAAAGCCTTCCTATAACGATTAATCCCTGCCCGCTCTAGTCTATACTCGCTTATCGTATCTAAGACTCGAGTCTATATTTCCCCTATCGCATACTGCACATCTTATATTATAGCTATAGGCGAAGCTATCGAGGCTCCTTAGTAGGCCTATCTCGCTACTAGAGATAGCGATCCTGTCCTACGTTAAGATCCGGACGAGCCTATTATTACCGACTGCTTCGAAGGCCTTGTCCGCTCCGAAGAATATCGCCGCTAGCGCTAGATCGAGCGCTAGGCCGAAGGCTAGACTCTTTAGCGTATAGTCCGTAGATAGCGTATATATAGCCGCTAATCGATTCGCGCCGCCGCTCGTTAAGGCCCGCTATACAATATAGGACTATTAATAGACCTAAACTAGAAAGAGGTAGATACTATAGAGGGCGGCGAAGCTGTTAATTATAAGTAGGTCGTAGTCGATAAGAATTTAGATTAGACTAGGTACGGAGACTGCTGCTATACTTATACTAATGCTAATACTAATAGAGTAGTACCTATTCCTTGTATCGCTCTACTAGACCTAGTTGTCTTCGGAGGTAGTAGCTTCCTTCGCGCCTAGGCTCTATATCGTACACTAACTAATGCATCTAGTAGACAAGAGTCCTATTAATATCGGTAGCTAGATCTAGGATTCACTATATATCTACGCTAGCCTCTTGCGCTAGACCTAGAGCTACTAGTACCTCGTATCGCTATATCTAATCTAGATTACTTTATAGGAGGTAGGTTCCTTCGTAGGCCTAAGAAGAGTCGAAATAAGTAGAAGGCTAGTAAGAAAGGCTAGTCTATCGACCTAGTAGGCCGGAGATTTAACGATCCTTAGTAACAATAGAAGAAGCAATAGTAGAAGCAAGGCTTACAAAACTAGCCTTAAACCGTACTAATTCTACTATCTCGCAAAGCCTATACTCGCTAGAAGCCAAATTGGTCGTCGGCTAAGCTAGCGCTTCTAGATACAGCGCAGTAGAAGACAGCATACTTCTAGAAAGCCGCTAAGGATATAAAACAGTATATACTCGAAGAGATTTAGATATTAGTATAGGATGCTAGCCTAGAACGAGAGGCAATGCCTTTCTAGCGGAACATTATTAAGAATAGCCTATAGTAGGTATTAGATGCCTTTTATCCTAGTAAGGGATATAGCCTATTAGACCTATAGTACGAGGTACTTTATAACGTCGTCTTCGTAGGTATAGATATTATAATAATCGAGAAGACTAGCGGTAGCAAGAGTCTTATATACTAGGCGTATATAATGCTAACTAGTCGTATTAACATCTAGATTATCCCTCTAAATCGCCTAGGTAAAGAGTAGAAGGCCGATATTAACTAGACAATGCGGGCGCTAAACTAGTAGGGCGTAGTTACCGAATACAATAATATCGAGCTCGTACGTTGCTATATAATCTCTATAGAGACTAAGCGTAAGGATCCAAAGATATACGATAATATCGTAGCTAGTAACTACTACTATATCTTCTATAGTCTAGAGTAAGCGTCTACGCCGGAACTGCGAGAGGTCTTTAAGAAGATTAGAGATCGTATTAGCCTTATTACTATCGATAAACTACACTTAGTATACAAGTAGAAGGAATTCCGGGAGGAATTCGCTTAAATCTATACGCTTCGCAGTCTCTTCCGTAATAATACCTTATAGCTAGGTACCTTAGCGACTATATTATAGAAGACCTTAGAATTCGTCTTAAAGTATAGAGGCTTTCGTACTAATAGCCGCGATGCATTTAAGACTAAGGTTATCCGTATAAGCATCGACCGGATCGATATAATATATATATTTAAGACTATTCCTTAGAAGCATC